TAAATTGAACTTAAATTTTAAGATAAAAACACACACCAATTAGCCCAAAACCATTTTTCTTCACAGCTTTTTTTGTACTGAAGACTTTCAGCGTTATCAGAGTGACACCAGAATTTCAAAATTATTCACCAAATGGAATTTCTCATGTAGGCAGTTTTATTAAATTCACGTAAGTAGCAATAGGGCATACCACTAAAGGGGAAAAAAAAGTTATCTGTATCTATTTATCATCAAGTGGTTCAAACACCTGGTGGACATAACGTGCTAGGACTTCAGATAGTGGTTTTTGTTTCTAGCTATAGAAAGCCACAAGCAATTTAGTTTCTCTTTCAGTGGCACAGCTCCCCAGCTGTGAAGTATTTCACTGCTACACTGAGGTGGGAATTAATTCATCAGTTTACATGAGAATTTCTGATACTACAATATTAAGCACTATGTATAACCTCTTGAATAGAAAACAAAAAGCCAAATATTCAAAATCAAAGCATCCTAAGTTAACAATTTGTCATTATTTTAAGCAAAAATAAACAACTACTTCAGACCAAAATTAAACTTTCCTTGCTTCTTCAAAACTGCCATTGTTATAATCATTGTACTAAAGTACAGAAAGCAGAACACAAAAGTCCACTGTGCAAATAGGAGATGGGAATTTTGCTGACAAAATTAATCTGTGTGTTCAGTTCCTACAGGTCCTACCTAGATTCTTTACAGTATGCTGCAGAATTAGATCTGTTCTCATACACAGCCTTATTGTCATTGTCCCTCGCTGCCAATGAGAGTTATGTACATATTTGAATGAAGAGGTATTTCAGGACTGATACGACGTCCTTGTTTAGCCTCAGAAAAAAAAAGGGCCTCAGAAAAAATAAAGAGGGATGAGAAAAACACTAAAAAAAGGAAAAATCTTTGTTTCAGGACAACCAAGCACTGCTTCTATGTAAACATGTCAAATGACATATAAAGTGAAAACAACTTCAGGGCATCACGCATTTTTATTTGAAAGATGACAGATCAGCAGTTCTGTTCAGTCTGCACGGTTTCTGGAAGAGCAATGTTTCATACAGGGGCAGAAAATAGGAAAAAAGAAACAAGAGATTCTTTTAAAAAAAAAAAGATAATTCAACATGTTCACACTTTAATATCCTTTTTAGATCCTGCAGTAAAAAGCATAAAAAATCCATCCATTTCTGATATTCTGCCAGACGTAGTTAAAGAAGAGTAAATCTTGCACAGTCACAGCACCCAAATGAACACCTCACTTCATAAGAAACCTGTCACCCTACTTATTGCTCTCTGACAATGAAATTAAAAATTATTAAATTGATAAACAATCTGCCCCATATTTAGTGCCCACATTATACACAAAGATGTGCAAATCCATCCATTTCTGATATTCTGCCAGACGTAGTTAAAGAAGAGTAAATCTTGCACAGTCACAGCACCCAAATGAACACCTCACTTCATAAGAAATCTGTCACCCTACTTATTGCTCTCTGACAATGAAATTAAAAATTATTAAATTGATAAACAATCTGCCCCATATTTAGTGCCCACATTATACACAAAGATGTGCTTTCACTAATAAATTGATAATTATAACCTTCCCAAACCAGGAAGCATCTCTGCAGTGTCAAACTACTCTTAATAATTTGGAAGTGTGAACACAGTGCATTTAAAAAAAAAAAAAAAAAGTACAGTGAAATACAGTCCAAAAGGATTAACTGAACTACATAGGTAAAAGATTATTTATGATAATTCACACAATACAAATATGTTTGTACTTACAGAGATTCTTCCCTTCTAACTTTTCAAGAAAAATCCTGCAAATGCAGAATCTCCTTGAAGCGTATTTATGCCCATCCAGTGATCATTTACACATAGATTATTTATACAATATAATAGCTTAGTATCACCTAAAGGTCAAATGTTAGAACAGGTCTATATAGAGAACAAAAAAACAATAGTTCTCAGCTGGTTTCCCTGGAACCTCTGTACTTGAACAAAAGCTAAGTCATGCCCTCGGGGTTTGGTTCAGCACTTTACTGTGGGAATACAAGTTAACTCCACTGAAGCGATGACAAATGTGCTCCGGATCAGGCCTATCTATTTGGATTGCTCTGCAGCGTGGTTATGTACTACCTCAATATTTGAATAGTACTAATGTAGGAAGAGGCTGTGCAATGAATCCAAGCAACAGGGAAAAATCAGATAAAGTCAGAGAAGCTGGCCCCAAAAAGAAAAATGTCACGCAGATAAACTTAACAGTTTAAAGAACAAACACAAATAAACCTTAGGTCCTCATCATAACTGAAATAATACTGGTACACTGACTTCCATAGACTTACGCTCATTTACTGAGAATCTGCTCCGAGTTTATAAATTAAGACCACTGATAAATGGACTTAATGGGCACTAGAGGCAACTACAGTATGCAGAGGAAAACCCCCAGTGATGTTTAACGTGCTACTATTGTCACCTGCCTTTATACAAGAGTAAGACAAAGAATCCTCTCCTTCTCAAACAGAGAACATATTGCCTTCTTTCAAGGGTTTCTGCTCTGGTATCTAACCACTATGGCTAAAACAAAGCCATAGTACACACAGACCTAAAGGAACCTCCAAAGGAAATAAAGCATGAAAAAGACTTAGATCCAAGCACGGCTAATGAGTGCTAAAGCACTGTAATCTTCCTTACACACCATTTCTACTCCTACTCATTTAAATCTGTTTCTCAGTTTGAACATCCATCCAGTGGACATCCACCCCTTTGCTCATTACTCAAAAGCCTGTGTTGCTGTCGGTTCGAAAAACAAAGTCATCAGGCTGAATATCTGAAGTAACCGGACAAGGCCTGCTGGCTGATACTCAGGTCTATGATCATGAGCTAACAGAGGTTTGGTCACTTAGGGACAATTCCTGAGTGCAGTAGTCAAAAAATGGGGTCACCACTCAGGAAGTCCACAGCTGCAGCAGTGGCAGTAAGAAAAAAATCATGGCCAAATGCAAGAAAAAGATCCTTAGATAGCCTTGTGCTCTCCTAAACTGTTACCACGTACAAGACACTGCTGTTGACCCTGTACTGGAGACTTGCCCGAATGCCGCACACAGTGCAGCGTAGCTGCTGCTCAGCCAGCACCTTCTCTAAGAAGAAACCACCAACTCATCTTCAATGTGAGAAACTGAAGTTTGGCTCTTAATAGTCAAGGCTTAGGGTTTTCATTTTACGTACTTCACAAGAGAGCTTACTACCGTAAACCTGCCGCTCCGTACACCACTGTACATGAAGAATATTGTAAAACGTCTTCCTAAATCACAATACAAACAAGCAGAGAACATGAAACCCTTATCTCAGAAGATGCTTTTTAAATGTCCTTAAAATGTGAAAAGGAAAGTGAAATTTGAGTATGCTCTAAGTAACAACCCACTTTCACCAATTTCTGTAAACATAACGTTTGTTCCTCAATTCAGTTTGAATTTTCAAGGTCCTGAGACTAGTTTCCAGCCAACAGTTTCCTAAGCAAATGCTGACCCCAGTTAAAATTCAAGGCTGCGAGATGCAAGGCCCTCTTCTGTCTCTCGTTGTAGAAGTGACAATGTTTTGTTTCAACATTTATAAAACAGTTTGTTTCCCATCACTTATGCCCTTAGGCTTTTTACTTTATTCAGCTTGGAAAATGGAAACAATAGACAGGTTTCACTTCCTGGTTTCTTGCTGCAGTATTTGGTTTAGAAAACAGAGCAAAGTAACTTTCAAATTCAATTGTTTAATTACATGATAAATACTATTTGTTAGATATTTTTTAGTGTATCAAGCTTTTCAAAATTGTCTTTTAAAAGAAGACCAAAACAAAACACATACTAAAACCCTAAATGAAAGAGTATACTACAAGCAACATAAAATGCATCGATTCTAAGCTACCGGGTAAACTATTCTACTCCACTGAAAATGACAGAAGTTGTCTTTTCCTTTAGTAGGAAGAGGCAGGGTAGTGAGGTGGGAAAGCATTTTTCTGAGCAGTCTTGCAGCCTGGGGACCATCTGGGAGCCTGGTCCTGCAGCCAGGCCCCGAAGCATGCACAGGGGAGAACCGATGGCTGTGGGAGTGCTGCCTGCACTGAAAGGTTCGCTTGCAAAGAATACAGTACTTTAACCTGACGTACCCCGGGAAAGAAAAACAATTGCTGAAGATATCAAATGAACTGAGGAAAAAAAAAATTAAAACAAAAAAAAATAAAACCAAGGCTTCTTGCCGAGTGTAGTAAAATTCAGTTAAAAGATAAGAGAACGACGCAGCATATACTGTTAACACCTTATTAAGTAAAAGGTAACTAAGAGTCAGGGAAACGAAAAGGATGTGTGTTCAAGCTTTTACATACATTTCCTTTTGAAAACACACAAACACAACAAATGCTGAAATATAATTAAAAAATGCATACATGCACAACCCAGTTTATAACCAAAAGCTTGGAATCACTTAGAAATAGTATTTAAACTAACATTCAATAAAAACATTTTTTAGCCTTATAAGCTATACTGACTTTTCACTTAATGTCTCAGGAATTTGATTTGGTCAATTACAGACAGTCTTGCATCTGTTATGGGACCAAATATGGCTCTCATGCAAGAGAACAAGGTGCTGATGTGAAATTTGGCCTATTTGCTATTAAAATTGTAACTTTTCCCAGTTTATATCATGTTGATGCGTTCGCTGTGTTAAGTTTACGTACAGCAGAAATTGTACATATTACGCAAGTTAAAAAAAGATAAAGAGTGAAGCTCCACAGAGCAGCACTCAGAGGAATGAGCCTGTGACAACTATGATCACCTTTCTGATCACCTCCCTTGACACTTCCTCCTCAGTTTACGTTTGCATGAAGGCAGGTGATTTACTGATCCTCCTTGCAAAAGGAAAGGAAACAAAAAAAGCCTGCCATGGTATTGAACCACTGCACCTCACTGCCAGCAGGAAATGAAGGGAGTCATTACTGTAAAAAAAAGTACCTTTTGGAGCCTCCAATATAGGTGAAGGTAAAGGTGGAGTCCGAGTACCTGAAATCTGAAAGACAAAGAGCTGCGTTATTACAACTTGTCTTTATTTTGGCCGAAATAGCCGAGGTTTTACAGACCAGCATTCGTCTACCCACAGGAGGGTGGGTGGAGGGGGGGGTCGGTGTGAATCAGAGGAAATGCAGCATCTCCCCCCAGCCCCTCGCAACAAGTGCTCGGTGCTATGGCAACGGCAGGGATTTCCATTGTCAGAAACGGCAACAGGCAGCC